TATATATATGTATATATATGTATATATATATGTATATATGTATATATATATATATGTATATATATATATATATATATATATATATACATACACACACACACAAAAGTTTAGAGTTAGTTTGTATAGTTAGTTAGAGATCGGCGGGAGCACAAGTCAACACCTCCTACTACATCGCCGCCATCTTGAAAAGAATAATATACGCGACGGTCAGCGGTGACACATAATAAATGTGACTTATATGCTGAAGCAACTTGTATATGTATTTTTTCCTCTTCATGATGCTTTTTTTAACTGATGCGACCTATACTCCGGAGCAACTTATACGCAGGAAAATACGGTAGTCTATAATAATAATGATAATCTACTTAGGTGACAAAAAAGTGGTAAAGAAATCTGTCCAGGCAGTTAAAAATACTGTCTACATTCAAAAATCTTTTTTTTCAATCTTTTTTCTCAGGACATCACAGATGTCCAATCCCAATAGATGGGCCATGTATTGAGGAATGAGCTAAGGGCACACCATGTGGATATGATCAAAGATGCTGCTTCAATGGGTGTGGACATCAGTGCATGTAACCCATACCAGGTCAGATATGAAGATGTTGGTAAAGATCCTCATTCTCTCTCTGCATACTGATTCTACAAGCAGATGGATTGTTTTTGTTTGTGTGTGTTTCAGTGCTGCCATGATTTTCAGGTAGAGGATGTTTCTTCCCTCACTGTCATGAATACTTATGGTGATGATTGCAGATGCAGCAAGAAATTATGTCTGAATAGACATGAACAATCCTTCCAGCAACACTTTTTTTTCCCCATTACAGACATATTGATTAAAATATCAGTACATTGCTTTTGTGTGTTTTTGTTTCAGTATCTTTTCTTTCCTATTTCCTGTTGAACACTGGTTTTCAAAAAAGAGAGGAGCATAGAGTGACCTATAAGAGTGGAGGAAGGAGTACGCAGGTAGACTATATTCTTTGTAGATGAGGAAACCTGAGGAAGATTGGGGACTGGGGATTGGGGTTGTGGCAGGGGAGATGGTGGCCAGACAGCATCAGATGGTTGTGTGTAGAATGACTGTTGTGAAGAAGAGAAAAATAGTAAAATCAAAGAAGAATACTAAATGTGGAAGCTGATGAAGATAGAATGGTGTGATACATTCAGAGAGAAGCTGTTAGAGGCTATGGGTAGTAAGAAAAGCTCCCAAATGACTGGGCTACCACAGCAGTAGTACCGTAATTGCCAGTGTATAAGCCACTAATTTTTCCCCACAATTTAGACTACATGGTTTATACACTGGAGTGGCTAATTTGTGTATTTCATCAAATTATTTTAATAATTTATATTTTTATATTTTATTTTGAAAGGCTTCCCACCATCTCTCAGCAACTTCCTTTTGCTGAAGAACATTTTCTTTTGTAATTGTACAATTAGTGAAGCAACAGTTTACTCACCGTTTTACTTACTGTTTGGTAGACATCCGTGTATTTCTATAAATGTAATTTTTGGACTTAGAGTTAACACACAGGCTAAAAAGATGGTACACAAACCTCTGGTCACAAGGTCTGCCCACAGACAGCATAAAGAAGCATCTTCTTATAATGCTTATCAGGCAGAGGCGAGGTCAACACAACCTTTCACAGATCTGAAGGTGTCAGAAGTTATAGGTTATCAGATGCAGGCTCCTTTCTAAGTAGACAAAAACACTCTCTTGACTTAACACACATAATTTTATATTAATTTAAAGTTATGTAAGTGATAACATTCATGACCTTTACATAAATTTGCCTAACAATATGAAGTAGTAAGTACAGAAGTATTAATTATACAAAAACCAGGTTGAACTAACTCAGTGTGTCTATAGAATGTTCCAAATGGCCAACAAAGTTCAGTCAGGTCATC